TATCAAACAACACAAATTTGAAAAAGGAAGAATTTTAAGGATCATCACTCTAACAATGACTTTGGACTGAGTGTCTTTGTGTTTGAGATGAAAGAACAAACACAGGATCTGGTCGCTGCTAGACAAACGCAGTGTGAACATCAGGTACATCAAATGAACTGCATCTAATGAGATGCATCCCAGCTGGCAGGAAGGCGAACCGGAGATTCAAGTAGTTATGAGGGAAAATGACCAAAGGTTCATGGAGGGAAATCAAGGGTTCACAACAAGATGCTGCCTTGGAAGGCTGCCAAGACTGGAGGATGGAGAGGGGTAAGGAATGGCACATCAAAGGCACATCAAAGCCACTGCAGCTGGCTGGGCATCATGGGTTAAAAGGAATGGTTAGAAAAGCCAATGCTGAACGCTGTTCCATTGATGAGAACAACAACACACGGTTGGGACCCAGCATACAGTACTAAGAAATAAACAGTGTGGCTCTAAAAGCTTGGTCACTATTGATGGTTGAGAGCATGGCACACAAAGTGGCTCTAACAGCTTCTCAAAAGTCCATTTGAACTATGACATGTTTGATTAACTTGTTTGAATATTTGAAAGCGATGCAATTCCACTTCAGAAAACACTGACCTGTGAAGACATTTCCCAGTCTGTGTCAACTTATGTTGGCATCGGGGCTAGACAGTAAATACAATTTATGGAATCATGAATGGATTGCCAACCAAGTTAATCTTACACAAATCTTCAATAACTACTTTTAACTAATTATCTAGTTAACTGTTATTAGGATGTGGATTTTCAGGTCATACTGTATCATTCAGCCACTCATGTATTGGTGGCATTCAAAATCACCCAATGAGCATTTCAGGCTGCAAAAACAGCATGTATGCAACATTTAACAACAGAGCTGTGGGAAACACTATATCTGGGAAACACTGGAAACACCAACAACATCAGCTATCAGTGAAAGCCAGACCAAAACCAGGAGTCAGTCGTACCATCTCCCCAGTTGGCGATTACTTTGAAGCTATCTGTCCATCTATAGAAAATGACACAGTTTCATCAAAATCAGTGAAAAATGTAATAAAAGTTGTGTTTTGGACAGTAATCAGTAAGGCCCCAAACAGATGTGCTAGGCCAGGCATATCTGGTACATACACCAGTGTCTTTCTAAAGTAAATGTTCTCATTATGCAGATAAATGGTCCCTGTCAGTGTTATACTAATATATATGATGTGTTTTGGATTAAAATTACAGTTGCATTCATATGTAGGTTGAATTTTACTGCTGTAGTTGTTGTGGTTGTACTGTTACTACTTTATATACTGTTGGCTAGCTTAATCCACAGTGCATTGCATGCATGCATACCATGCATTTTCCACTTAATCCATGTTTTTTTAAATACTGTGGTTTATTTAGCTTAAAAGCAGGAAGATCTTTGCAAATTTGGAGAGAATCTGAAAAGTATCTCATAATTAAAGCTGCCGGACAAACATAGTGGTGGACTAAAACGTAATTCGCACCTGAGATGTAATACATAACAGCATTGGATGGAAATACTCAAGTAAAGTACAATACCTCGAATATTAACTTAAGTACTTGAGTAAATGTACTTAGTTACATTCCACCACTGCAGACATGTCAGTCATGCTGGAGACATGTGGGTCTATCTTCCTGGCAGTAAGGAGAATAATTTTTGTTTAGCATTGTTCGGTTTCCTTCTCTGTCAGTTAGGGGAGTATAAGCAGCATTAAGACCTGTACCTATCAGCTGGCTGATAGCCAGCTTGTCAGGGGGACCTGGAGTGACCTCATATACAGGGAGGCGGTGAAACGGATGTGAGGCCAGCTTGTCAGCTGCAGTGACAGTCAGCAGGCAGCAGGGCTAACAGGATGAGACTGTCAGCATGCAAGCTGTGAAGGAGTGTGTCTTTATTAGATCTGGTTTATGTAAGGGCATGTACAGACACAAACTAAAACATGCCCATACACATACACACATACAGGTACCCGTCAACAGAACCAGGTCACATAAAGCGGATTCATCCCAGCAGGAACTGCATCAGATCCAGACTCACATCCTGACAGTCACAGTATGTCATTGATTAATGATTGCTAATATCAACGCTCATCACAGGGGCATGCATACATACAGGTACTGACACGTAAACAATGAGGCATACACACACAACTGCTGCTTGCTTCATCGCTGATTCATTGCACGTTGTCTTTACGCAGTGCACTACTGCTTTTTCACTCAAAGGAGAACTGTGTGTGTTTTCTCATTATACAGAATAGAAAGGACTGCAGCTGCAAAGAATCATGAATGAAACTCAAACAGGGATAAGTACACTGGTAGCCATGTCATAAATCCATCCTGCTTCCTATGCTTGTACACTATGCATTAAGACTAAGTCTTGTCATATCTACATGGGATCTGTATTCCAGCTGAAAGTGCCTAATGGAGTCCATTAATTAGAGAACCGTCCCACATTGCTTCTGACTGCATTGAGAAACATGACAGGATGTCCCTCAGCTACTGTTAGGAAGTGGAGCACTGGAAAAACTCTTTCAGTGGCTACATGTGAAAAGATAGTCATCAGTGGTACAACAAATATTAACAAAAGCAAAATGTCGCACTAGTCTACCGACTCTACGTCACGGAGCTGACCTGCGTGCTGACTAATGATTCCTGAGCCACTGAAAGGCTTCGTGGTGAAGCCCACTCACCAGGCACACAGCTGAGCGAATCAATCACAGAAACTCACAATTACTGTAAATTTTAGATATGTGAGTAAAATTTGCCATCACGTATCGTTTATCATTGACATGAATGGGTGCCACATGGACATTTCAAGATGTTACTTCCTCAAACAAAAGAGGAGGGAAGACTAAATCATGCCTACATGCGTGCTGACTCAGCAGGGACGATATTAAATGAGAAAAGTTAATCTACAGGAGAATACATATTTGAAAGTGACGCAGCATGCCTGAGAGCTGCACTGCATTATATTCTATTTTTATAATTTGAATTGTCACCTGTCACCTGAATTTTGTTTCCCTTTATATAAATAAATATTTCCAGAATAAATTTTTACCAGAATGGAGGAAATGAAGTGTCTAATGCTCAAGACTGGTTATGTCCATACAGTCCTTTGGTAGCTGTGTTTAGAAAAAATGCAATTACATATGAATACATTTAAACAATAAAGAGAACTTTATACATTTACTGTAAACAGAAAATGTCAGTTGAAAATTATCATGAGCCATGTTATAGTTGTGTTTTCAATGCAGCAAATAACCTAACATGGAGTGGAGTGATGGTAATTGCTTAACAAACACGTAATGCTGAAACCTTGAAAACACATGACGACGTGTGTTTTTTTGCTTTTTCCACACAGCGGCGGGAGATGTGGAAAGGTTGTGAGGGTTCTGTAATTACTGTGGTGCGAGCGCTCACCACAATGACAGATGCGTAATGTGTGAATGGATGTGGGTGTAAGTAAGTGTATTTACCAAGAACTGTCAGCAATCTGCGGATTCTCCACCGCCGCAGCACTGTGGCAATAGTGCACTGAGTGGCATTATTTACATGAGGTCATCAAATGGGTTATGAAACACAGCCGATAGATACTGGTGTATCAAAGTCTTCATAGTAGGAAACGTTTTCCAATATGATGCCTACTACAGATCTACAGTAATTAATGCAGACAGCTGGCAGGTCATTTTAACTCTGACTCTCTGTCTCTCTTTCACACTCACACTCTTTCACAAATGTATAACAAGTTAATTTAGTATTAAAAGACTTAACGGGCAGATTCAATTACCGCCTTGCCGAAGCTATAGATAGTGGCATCAGAGATGACAAGATTAGCTTTTGGCTAGAACGGCACCAAGCAGCGATCAGTACTTAGACACATGTCTGCTCCAGGAAAAGCGGAAAATTAGGCCCACAGAGACATTTAGCTCTTATTCAGCTCAGTTTAAATGGAATTAGATGAGGAAGAAATTGTTTGTTTCCTGTTACATCTGCAAGTGAAAGCTTTCTCATTCTTTTTACTAAAGATTGCAGTCCTGAAGGCTGCTCAAAAATAGCCCAGTCTAAATATATATTAGTATATTAGTTATTCAATTTCTTAAAATGGCCACACTGACCTTTTAGCGATACAGGCTCTGAAAGTTATTTGTGAAACCATGGCAACATGACAAAAAGGCTGTCTGTCCCAAAACTTTAGACTGCAGTTGTTGGAACATTAATCATATTTTTTGTGTAGGTAGAATTTGATTAATATTACCGAGCTTTAGGGCACCTGTGTGTACTTGTACAACGTAAAAAAAATAAAAATAAAAATGTTTTCCCAATTGTGTATTGTTCATTATTTAAAGGAATTGTTGGAAATGTGTTTATTCGTTTTCTTGCTGTGAGATAAATGAGAAGATCAATACCTGTCCGCTCAATATGGGAATGCATCAAGGATATGGTTAGCCTAGCTTAGCATAAAGACTGGAAGCAGTGGGAAACAGCTAGCCTGGCTCTTTCCATGGGTAAACAAATCTGCCTGCTACCACCTCACACATTAACACATTGTATCTAGTTTGTTTAATTCACACAAAATAGGGTAAAAATGCCACGTTGGTGGTAGCTGCACTGTGTGTGGTTTCAGTGGGGGTTATGTGCTCTTCTATTTCTTCGCTGAGTGACTTCATGGAGTTTTGTTGTCACTGTAAGGTTGCCTCAACAAGTTTTACGGGGACAGAGCCAGAGTATTTGTTTGCCCATTTCCAGTCTTCATACTAAGCTTAGCTAATAATCTTCTGGCTTTAGTTCCACGATGAATGGACAGATATGACAGTGAAATCAATATTCTCATCCAACTCTTGGCAAGAAAGCAAATAAGCATTTTCCTAAAATGGCAAACTCTTTAAAATATGACTAGAATTGGCATTGTACATCAGTACATTTAAAGCATAAGAGTAGGTAGAGAAAGTAGTACAATGTCTGACCTTGGCAAACAGAGCCCCCTTAGCTGCCAGTGCATCCTCTCCTTTCCCGTTGGGGTAGCACTCGTACCGTGCATCCAAAATTGGGTAGCGGCTGGCCAGCATCAGCCCACTGTTAAGGAACTTGAACATTGAGCAGCAGCCTTTCCAGCCATACCGCCCAACATCACTCAGCACAAAGGGGAAGTAGCGATGCAACTGCCGCCGCAGTCTAGTCGTCGCTCCGTGGTCAAACACTTCTTGTAGAGCCAGGAAATCCAGATTGGCAGGGAAAAAGGCAGAGATCTCGTGGTCGAACGTCTCATCTCCGTGGCGGCGTTTTCGTCCAGGGCGCTTAAAGATTGACGTGCGAGGGACATGAGAGAGAGTATTGTTGGAGGATATCCCTACGCCACCGTCACTTCCATGGTATCGAGCGAGGGATTCCCTGGAGGCAGTCATGCTGCCTGTGTCTCCCCCCGCCTGCTCCCCTGGCCGATGGTTCCCTGTATCGGCCTCCTCCTCCTGGGGGTCCGGCTCTGGGGCACTGATGCTGATTTGAACCCCTGAGTTGTGAAGTGGGCAGTCTGGGGATGGTTTTGGCTGGGTCCCTTCACCATGCATGGGGCAGTCATGATGGCCTTGGCCATTCTGAGCCCCTGTGGAATGCATGGGGCAGTCTGAAGCCTCCCCTGTAGTATGAACGGGACAGTCTGAGCTGCTGTTCATCCCTGCAGAGTGGAGTGGGCAGTCTGCTGTCTTGTCTGCTCCATCTGGGTGAAGGGGGCATTCAGCGGAGCCCTGATCTCCTGGAGAGGGGTGAACGGGGCAGTCGGTGGCACCTGAGGGGTGAATCGGGCACTCTTCGGTGTCGGCTGGTCCATTGGTGTGTTTGGTCTGGACGCTGGTCCAGAGAGGAGGTACGGCGAAAACCTGTGGCAAGACTACTAAAGGATGCCGCACTGATAAATAGAACAGAAAGAAAGTAATAAGTATTCAAAATGTATTTGTTTGATTAGTAGTCAATAATTGTCTTTTATTACTGCTAAGACATAAGCAAAAGGAGCCAAGGAGATAGCTGTCCTTACCTGATTGAAGTGTTGGTAGGTGAGTCGATGTAGATTTTAATCTGAGGCCGACTGGCACCATTACGGATCCTCTTCCCCAGCTCCCGGGCTCTCCTCTGGGTGTCTGACAGGTTGTTGAACCTGGCCAAGGAATCGGGCAGCAGGCATACGTTGGCACTACAGAAACAGAAGCTTCTGCCCTGTGGCTTCCATTCCCCAATCCCAACACCCCCTGACCCAGCCTGGCCCTGCTCGGCCTGATGTTTGTCTGGTCTGCAGAAGGGAAGCAACAAAATACTATATCACATCAAACAGAAGCTCTGGAGCACACAAATACACCTCCACAATATGGTAAAAGAATAGTCTGACATTTTAGGAACTTTCACTTCTCCTGGACTGAAATAAGTAATCCTGCTTTGCAAATCTATTACCTTACTACACAATAAACAATACAAAATTGGTATTTTTGAGAGGGATTAGATGGTGAAAGGAGTGAACTTTTTGTGTGTTCCTCCTTTTCACTCGGGCAAAACCATGGAAGATGAGTAGGTAACAGAATAACAGAGAAGTCAGAGGGTTTAATGGCCATGTGGTCTAAATTTTGAGACAATCAGCACTAGCAACACCACAGGCATGAGACAGACGTCACTGTCTAATTTGTTTGAAAACAAGTAGCATTAAAAAAAAAAACCTGTGCCACTTCACCAATGTCCACACTAACCTGTGGAAGGTGTATAAGTAGGGCTGGCGGATGGCCTGCAGCGGAGCCCAGATAATGAAGCCCAGCAAAGCGAAGGGCAGGGAGGCGAGGAGAAGGAGCAGGTAAAGGGGGGCGGAGATCACTACACAAAGAGTGAGGAAGGAGCAGGGGTCCTGGGAGCGTTGGCGCTTCTCCAGTGAGGTGGCCACGCAGGAGGCCAGGAGCCGGTCCAGCAGCCAGTAGCAGGGGAACACCAAGCTCCACGACAAGCCATCCAGGAAGTGCAGACAGGCACTGGAGTAAGGGGTGGTGTGGAGGACCATCTCTTTCCTTCTTTCTCTCTCTTTCTTCCTCTCTGTCACTTTCTTCTCACCTTGCTCACTCTGCCCACGCCCACTCTTTAAAGAAGCTAACACAAATCTGCTGCAGAGATTACATAAACAGAAATAAATAAAAAATAAATCAGACTCGAATGTATACCCTCCCCCCTCCTTGGAGAGAGGTACACTACATGGTTTGGGTGATTTTTTTCTTCACGGGCAAGCTTGTCTGAGTCTCACTACACCTCCCTCATCAATTACACCCTCTACAGGAGGAGTCATGGAGCGCTGTCTGGAGGTAGGGGGTTTCCATGATGAAAGCTTTTCCGTTGATGATGGATCTATGATTGCAAGAACTCCAGCAACCTCGGGAGGTGGCACCCATTAACCATCACTGTTCCTCAGGACCTGGAGAAAGTGTGCAAATCAATAGAAGAAGAGAGGAGGAAAATGGGAGGGGGAGAGAGAGGGGAGGAAAAGAGGCAGTTGATCAGTGACTGACTTGCTCTGATTTAAGCAAAATTAACCTTGTATATTTACTAATGTTTTTGACAGCAAAATAAATATATGTGCACGGGTTAAAATTGTCTGGGTTTGTGTTCTGAATAAAATAATGCTGTTCCAGTTTGTTGTGTTTTGTTGAAATTTTTGAAAACATCCAGATTTTCAACGCTGCTATTGCCTATCCAAACTTTAGTGGATGGAATAAAACCTTATACAAATGAAGAGAAATTGAATTTATTACATTGGATCTCTCTAGTAAAAGGAACATTAATATTCAATAGCATGTAGTTCACTGACGCTACTGTATGCCTAACAACACGCTAAATTAGACTTCAAGATAAAAAAGTCAAACTCAATGTGGGCCATTACATCATGTGCCTAAATTACTTTATTCACACAAACACACATAAAACTTTCATGGTACATATTTTCGCCCTGGGCAAGTTTTCTGCTAACTCTGCTAACAACCTCATTTAAAATAATAATAATAATAATAATCCTTATTTGTAGAGCACTTTTCAAAAACAAGTTACAAAGTGCTTTAACAAGTGTAAAGAATAATACAAAAAAACAAGATAAGAGCATGAAAAATTAATATAAAATTAGTAATATACAATACAATAAAAGGGATAAAATAAGGATAAGGATAATAAAGATCGGGAAAGGCTCTCCAAGAGTTCAGAATTTCAGCTCTCATTTCCTGGTATTCACATCTGGATGTGTTAAACAACTCAGGACATACCACCCTTTGTTGGAACCCACCCATTTTTCAAGTGAGCAAAACTATTGGAACATGTGACTGCAGATGTTTCTTGTTGCCCAGGTGTTGCCTTTTAGGTTGATTGTCCAAACATTAAATATCTCTGCATAACTAGTCTAAATTTTCATCCTCGGTTCAAACCTATAAAGACTGCATTTCCTGTTAAAGAGGATAAACCAACATGAAGACCAGAGAGCTGTCTATGCAAGCCACTGGCAAGCTGAGAAAAGAAGGAAAATCGAGCAGAGCCATTGGACAAACACTGGGCAGAGCAAGCACAACAATTTGGAACGTCCTGAAAAAGAAAGAAACTACTGGTGTACTGAGCAACAGACGTCCAACAGGTCGGCCAAGGAAAAAAACTGTAGTTGATGACAGAAATATCATGAGAGCTGTGAAGAAACCCCCAAAACATCAGTAAGTGACATCAGCGACCTCCACAGTGCAGGGTGAAGGTATCACAATCCACTGTTGGAAGAAGACTCAGGGAGCAGAAATCTAGAGGCCACACCACAAGATGCAAACCACTCATCAGCAGGAAGAATCGCAAAGGCCAGATTGAAATTTGCACAGAAGTACAGAGATGAGCCGCAAAAGTTCTGCAACACAATCTGATGGACTGATGAGACCAAGATTAATCTCTAGCAAAGTGCTGGAAAGGCCAAAGTGTGGAGAAAGAAAGGAACTGCTTCTGATCCGAAGCACACAAGCTCATCTGTGAAGCATGGTGGAGGTGATGTCATGGCTTGGGCGTGCATGGCTGCTTCTGCAACAGGCTCATTAATATTTATTGATGATGGAACTGATGATGGGAGCAGCAGAATGAATTCAGAAGTGGACAGAAACATTTTGTCTGCCAGTTTACAGAGAAATGCATTGAAACTAATGGGGAGGAAGTTTATCATGCAGCAGGACAATGACCCAAAGCACACTGCCAACAAAACAAAGGACTTCATCAGGGGAAAAAGTGGAAGGTTTTAGACTGGCCGAGTCAATCACCTGACCTGAACCCAATAGAGCTGCATTTCACCTCCTTAAGAGGAGACTGAAGGGAGAAACACCCCGAAACAAACAAGAACTGAAAGAAGCTGCAGTAAAAACCTGGAATAGCATCACAAATGAAGAATGCAACAGTTTGGTGATGTCGATGGGTCGCAGGCTTGAGGCAGTTATTGCAAGCAAGGGTTATGCACTAAATATTAAATGTTATTTACTTTAAGATTATTTGTTCCATTACTCTTGCTCACCTAAGAATACTGTGGTCTAATGCAGACGGTGGTATGTCCTGAGTTGTTTAACACATCTAGATGTGAATACCAGGAAATGAGAGCTGAAATTCTGAACTCTTGTCTCATACTCATCTTTTGATCTTAAACCCAAATGTCTTCAGTGAACAACAAAAACAAAGGAATTTGCCTCACATGTTCCAATACTTTTGGAGGGGACTGTAGTAATGTAAGCTATACCATTAATACTTAAGTTCTGCTAACTTGTTAAGCATTTCTACAAATAAAAGCTGTTCCACTACTGTAGCAACACAAATTATGCTCCCATCACATGTTTAGTATAAAATGGGAGGTGGATATAATTCCTAGAAGTACAGGTACTTTACAAAAGGTATACAATCAATACAACACTAACTGCTATTATTTAAAATATGTTATTTTCTTCTTGGCCACAGACAACTTAACCACAAATTAGTCCTTGATTGCTTCTCAACCAACTATAATATCATCACATGAGAGTCAATTCCACCGGTATGAATAAATCATGAATAGATTAATTCACCCATGTCAACAGCCGGGTGTTTAGGAAGACACAAGAGAGCTTTGACCTCAGTGTAACCTCATGTACCCCACAGGAACCACTAGAGCAACAACCTCAAGCTTTTAAGATAACACAGTGTCAAATCTACAGCGTGACAAAATTACTCCATTATCTACCACACAGCTGAAACCCACCATGTGTTGTACATACGCATACCATATAAAAACAAAACTCCATTTACACTGTTAAGCAACTGCACTTATATCTGTCTCTAATAATGTCATAGATTGTAATATATAGTAGTCTTCATCCAATTGACTAAAAAATGTCTAAAGCCTGTAAACTTAAAAGGACAAGATAATGCTCTTGCATGTTTTAATTCTAATGATTAGCTGGGAATCTATTCCTCCATCCTCAATTTTAACTTTATAACTACACCTACACATTGTCCCAATTAAAAAACACAGGACAAAGACAACACATGGTGTGTCATACATTCATTGTGCATCCTGGGTCTTGTTGTTTTAACTTTCCAATATAGAACACTTTTCAACAAAAAACCACTCTGTGAGCCATTCGTCATAACAATCTACAATTTTCTGACAAAATTAGACTCTTTTGTTAGACAGGCTCATCCTCTGAATGGCACATCTATACCAGAATAACAATCACCACAGTCGCCCCCATTCTAGTAGCCTAATCTTCTTCTGTACAGTCAAAACCTTTGTGTACAGTAATGATTCATGTTATGACACAACAGCTGCCTGTTTAGTAAGACGCCTGCTACTGATGGACTTCTTGGTATACTGGTTGACTGGGTGAGAGATGAAGAACCTTCTGACTCACCAGTAGGCCTGACTGCCATGGTTGCTGCTGTGCTTCCAGCGGACTGATTCACAAACTGTTTTACTGTCTGAATGGATGTCTGACTTTATGTGTGATTGACAGATCAGCGTATACACAGACAGGAATTTTAACACAGTAAATTCAGCCTCCTGGTAGTCTGTGATTTGACCTATGGGGAACTTTATATGCCAAATTGTGAATATGGCTGTGATGTTTATGGGTTAAAGCACAGTTTAAACCACTTATCGATTTATTATTATTTAGCATAAACAGATAACTGAGCCGGCAAAAGGAACAGAATTGAATTGAATCAGTGAATTAATGAAAGGAAGCAACCATAAGGCTTACCTCTCTGCTCTAATCCAGACGAATTCACTAATTGCATTGCTGCCTGGCATTTATGCTACAATTTGTAGCCTTTCCTCATTAAACTGCATTAGATTTCACCACAAAATACATGGATAATTCAAAAGAAATGGATCCGGTTAAGCAAGTTTTATTTGAAATGTTCTTGATGTTAAAAAACTTTTTTTTCTGTTGCTACTAGGACACTATTCACCACAGCTAACTGTTACCAAAGCCATCTGATGGCGAGTACAGCTCAGAAAATGCTTCATTAATAGAAAATGAAGAGAAAATGGAAAACCCCAGAGAGTGCTGTTATTCTATGTCAGTAATAAACAAAGACAATGAGAAGTGAAATCAAGTACATGATGGTCATTTAACAGATTTTCACCAGCATGTTCGCATTATTTACATTTTTATCCAGCGTTCAATTAAATCCAGATAGATTCTTGGATGTGTTTATGAAAAATTCAAATTGAGGATTTATTATACTGCATCTTATGGTCTTCATCAGGTGAGATTGAGTCAGCAAGATTCAAATGCAGTTGAAGAACCCAGAAAAAGCTAGAAAGTGGACTTTGAGTTAAAGGATTTTGACATTTTGGAAAATACACTAGTTCGAGTTAGTGTTAGATGAGACGATTGACACCACTCTCATGTCTGTGTGCTAGCAGACAAGTGCGTAGCTTAGCATAAAGACTGGAAAAAGCTTGCCTGACTCTGTCCAAAGGAGGAAGTTACGGCGGTTAACAAAGTAATTCCAGCATGTATGAACTCTTGTTTATTGTAGATTGGCTGCATTTCCCATCTTCCTTGGATGGCATTTCAAGGAAGATAGCTTACCAAAATGATTAACAAGTGGTGGACAGATAAGCTGGCCAACTGAGACAGAACCTTTAATTGCAGTACAGGCTTTGTCATTCATTTTATACTTTTTTGATTGTGCTGTGTTAATTCCAATAACCCAAAATGTTGAAAGGCTCCCACTTTTCAACAACACTTTTTTCCTCAGATTTTGTGAAGAATTTTCCTTTTGGAATTGCAGACACCATCAACAACCAAACACAGAAAAACACCCATCAATCATAGCTGACATATCGGTACAAACTGTCACACTTAGCCTTATAAGGGGAGACGCCTCAGTACATAATTCATACCCAAACACACCGGCTTATAGAGAGACTGA